AGAGGAGGAGGACGAAGAGGGAGGAGAAATAAAATGAGGATGACGAAGAGGATGAGGAGAAAGAAGATGAGGATGACGAAGGGGAGGAGAAAGAGGAGGAAGAGAAAGAGGATGAAGAGGAAAATGGAGAAAAAGAAGATGAGGAAGAAGAGGAGGAGAAGAATAAGGAAGAAGCATGAAGAAGAAGAAGAAGAAGGAGAAGAAGAAGAAGAAGAAGAAGAAGAAGAAGAAGAAGAATCGTGTCCGTTCTTTTTTTTTTTGTTTTGCCTCGGGAAGTGTGCCGCGCGCGCCTCGGGAAGTGTCCCCGCGCGCTGCATCGGGAATCGTGCATGTGGTTGCCTCGAGAATCGTGCCGCGCACTGCCTCGGGAATCGTGCCCGTGGCTGCCTCGGGAATCGTGCTCGATTTTTTTGTTTCCTTCTTCGTTCTTGTATTTTTTCATCTTCTTTTTTCTTCTTCTTGCTTCTTTTTTTTTCTTCTATTTTTTCATCTTCCTCATTCTTTTTCTTTCTTCTTCTGTTTTTTCGTCTTCTTCTTTGATTTTTTTTTTGGTGGTTGATGTTCACCCCTTGGGATGTTCTATTTTTTGAGTAGGAAGATTATACTCGTCTCTTGTGATGTGATGTGGACCCACTTGGGGTTGAGAGGTAAGGGTGGTGCCCAACCTTGGGATGGGTTAACCACCCACTGTAGGATGAGGCGCTCGAGACCTATGGTCTGAGGTGAATGCACACGGTTGTGTCGTTGCTTCAGTGACAACACGAGTTGAAGCTTTCGCGGTCGTATGCTGAAGGTCCTTGTCGGTTATCTTAACCGTTAGAGGAGCAAATAGAAGTTGATATTGTTGAAGTTTCGGCGATCATACGCTGAAGGTCCTCTTCGGTTATCTGAACCGTTCGAGGGGGGGCGGAAGTAGGCCCCCAGAGAGTCGATGACCCATGGGGAGCAAAATATTTTGGGGCACTATAAACCCCCAGGGAGTCGATAACCCTTGGCGAACGAAATATTTTGGGGGCAGATGTAAGCCACCCAGGGAGTCGATAACCCTTGGCGAGCGAAATGTTTTGGGGGCACTGTATACCACCCAGGGAGTCGATATCCCATTGGCGAGCGAAATATTTTGGGGGCAGATG